TATAATTAGAAATGAATAATTCTATTTATATAATTCTATAATTTCTTTTTGGATCATTAACCCTTTGCACTCGAGTTTCAATTATCATTTAGTAAAATTCTAAAGATCAATGTTAATTAATATATTTTTAAATACGTGTTCTTTCATGAGGGAAATAACGACGATCCTGAAAAATTTAAAGGAAGTTAGGAAAAAAAGAAGAGAAAGAGAAAAATTTATATTCTTATTCCTATTCTAAAATTGTTAAATCCAAATTTTATAATTTATAATTCCTATAATTAGAAATGAATAATTCTATTTAAATAATTCTATAATTTCTTTTTGGATCATTAACCCTTTGCACTCGAGTTTCAGTCGTTGTGTAATAAAATTCTAAAGTTAATTAATATATTAATATAATATAATATATTTTTGAAATAAAATAACTCAACGATGCGTGAAATGCCGAAATAAAATAATTCTACGTGTTAATTTATGTATAATTTCTTATTTACTATTTTTAAAAATGTCGTCGACTTTATAGCAAAGAATCTTGGTACTGCTATTTTTCTAAAGCGAAAAAATCGTCGAGTGCAAAGGGTTAAAATAAAGAAGATATTTTAAGGTTTAAAAATGCAGGGCTCTATGTTTGATATTATTTCACAAAATTTTTTGAATGATCTTTTAAAACGATAAATATAAGAATTGGAGAAAAATTTAGGTTTGGAAATTGTGTTATTCGATACAATTTCATTTATTTTGCTAATATTATTCGCATCTAGTATTTTAGAATAACATTCCACGTCGAAGTATCGATTGAGAGGAATAATATACAGGGTGATACTGGTAACTGGGCCAAGCTATATCTCTATTCCAATTGAAGTCGGTGAAAAATCGTAGAGAATGATTTACGATATTCAATAAACCCTATTATCCTACAATTGCAATTTTTTTTCATAAATGTAACAGTGCTCCTGAAAAATGCAATTGCATTTCTTTTTTAAATAAAATTGAGGAAATCAATTTTTTTTTGTAAAAGAGGTAATATGTTTACACTTAAACAAGAAAATTTTGGGGAAAAAATCATGTGACAGAATAAAAATATTATAAAATATTTAATAGACATAAATTGATGTTACAAAATTGAAAAGTTATGTAAAATGAAAAGTTATAGAATTCCATTACTACTAACCTAGTTATCGACGTGTAAAAAGAAAAAATATTTTCTTTGTGGCTTTTTCACTAACCTCCCCTGCAATAGAGATATAGCTTGTCCTAGTTACTAAAATCATCTTGCACACTAAAAAGGGAAGGAAAAAGAAATATACTGTATATAAAGTTCAGAGTATTTAATATAATTGTGTTTATATCATCGCTATTATTTGTTAAATTAATCACTAAATAATGGAGGATTTTTGCAATAGTATCCCTTTTTTAGTGTGAAGCAATGTTCCTAATTGGAATTATTTTTTTATGGATTAGAATGATCAATATATTATTCAATAAAAATAGTTACTATTATAATATACTAAAAGTACCGACGTCTTATTTGGCTAATTTAATATAATTTATTTTTTGCAATAGTATTCTACATCTATTTTAAAAATGAAACAGTATAATACAAATTATTTAGCTACTAAATTTCAAAATCAGAATAAATTCTATTAACAGATCAATTACCATATCCTATCTATCATTCAAACTATTAAAATAAAATCATTATAAAAGGGATTTTATAATTTATTTTTTTCAATAGTATTCTACATTATCTATTTTACAAAACGAAATGATATAATAGAAATTACTTGGCTACTGAATTTGAAAATTAAAATAAAGTCTATTAAGAGACGAATTATTCTATTTTATCTATCATTCAAACTGTTAAAGAAAAGTCATTATAAAAAGAATTTTATAATTTATTTTTTGTAATAGTATTTTACATTATCTGTTTTAAAGTGCGAAATAATACAATTAGCCACTGAATTTAAAAATCAGAATAAAGTCTATTAAAAGACAAATTACCATATTCCATTTATCATTTAAAATATTAAAAAAAATCGTTATAGAAAGGATTTTATAATTTATTTTTAAAAAAAGTAAAACAATATAAACATTGCATCGAGTAGTATAGAAATTCCTTAATCGCTGAATTTAAAAATTAGAATAAATCCTATTAAAAGACCAATTACTATACTCTATCTATCATTCCAAATATTTACCAAAATCATTATAAAAAGAATTTTATAATTTATTTTTTGAAAAAGTAAAACAATATAAACATTGCATCGAGTAGTATACAAATTCCTTAATCGCTGAATTTAAAAATTAGAATAAAATCTATTAAAAGACCAATTACTATACTCTATCTATCATTCAAAATACTTACAAAAATCATTATAAAAAGGATTTTATAATTCATTTTTTGAAAAAGTAAAATAATATAAACATAACATCGAGTAGTATACAAATTCCATAATCGTTGAATTTAAAAATTGTAATAAAGTCTATCAAAAATCTATTAAAAGACCAATTACTATATTCTATCACACAAACTATCTCCTAACATACAAAAATCAGTACGAATCATTGCAGAAACGTAGATATATCGAGGTTGGTACGCTTTGTGTGACACACCCTATATATTCGCATAGTTGCCGGGATGCACACGATACTCGTTCGAACCAGTTCCGGCTAAAGTCAACATAAACAAAGTCGTCGAAATAGTTCGCAGCCTATGCTGTCCATTTCGCGTGGGAACAGTTTAAAAGCTCGGTCATCAAATAAATGGGCCGAGCAAATACTTAACCTTGGGTCCCGATGAACCGGCCGCGAGCCATAATCCGGAATTTCCTTAAATACGATTTCAATTGCAATCTCTATTCAGCGCCGGGGTAATTTTCGTGGCGATGAACAATGCGCTAACTAACGCACCGGCAAACGGCGGCCGCAATTCCGGCTGGAAATTACCGCTTAAAATATTCACGGCCATATTCGAACCGACATCCAAAGCACCGCTTAAGGGATTACGTAACCCGGATACGTATTTTTACCATAGCTTTACATTCCAATCGCACACCGTTTTCTCCTCTGCGAAACCTGCGCCGGGAAGAAGATCGATACCATACAAATTCAGCCTTGTTCGAGCTTTTTTCCTCTCGTAGGCAACCGTTCGCCTCTCCATGTATCCGTAGGTCCACGTATGTACCTATCTACCACAAAAGTTTGGTCGAATCGATCCGATCGGATTACTCTCTAGCGATCCCACGCAATTTGCCCGGAACCAGGCTATACGGGGCATATATATATATATATATATATGGGGGAAACGGAAGGAAAGATGTCGGTATAAATGGGCAACGGGGTGGTCCAAATGGAGGGAAAGATGGCGTGTGGTATAAACGAGGAAGAAGGAACGAAGACGCTGGACGGTGAGCAGCATCGGTATCCCTGTTCCCAACCTCCTCCTCGTTCATCGTTCATCGCGGTGATACTTTAGGCCAGCGGATTGTCTCGGTTGCAGCATCCTAGGGATGTACCTGTTCGGGGGTAAGTTTTGCATGTGGGCGGACCGGAGTCGGCCCTGCACCTGTGCCGAGGTGGTCTCGCGGCACCCAATGTGTCGCTGTGATCGCAAACATTTCAACGACATCGTCTGGGCACTTGTCACGGTCTTTCAGGTACCACTGTTCCCCTCTCTCTTACACCGAAATATATACACTACTGTATATGCGCTAAGTATTTACAAGCACATGGCTCTTCTATATCTATATCTGTATCTATGTCTATTATCTATATCTATAACTATGTCTTTATCTATATACCTATGTCTATATCTATATCTGCATCTGTATCTATCACCTGTCTCTATATCTATATCTATTACTCCGCTGTTCCCTATATCTACGTGTTCTATATCGATGTCTATGCCTATCTATATCTACGTCTATTACCTGCATTTCTCTATCTATATCTATATTTATCCATATCTATATACGTATATGTACGTGTTACATAATATTGTGTACAGTTTTCTCTCGCTTTTACGCTCCATCGCGTTCCAGCTCATTTTCTTGATATCATGCGATCCACATATATATATATGCATATACGAACATTTTCTATATTTTTCCATTTCCTTTCTTCCCCCACCCCGTTTCTGCTTCTCTTTCTCTGTCTCTCTATCTCTCTCTGTCTCTCTCTATTTTCTTTTTCTTGCTTTCTCTCTATCTCTCTATGCCAACCTTCGCTCTACACACAGCTTAACAAAGCGTCGTAACAGATTAGCAACGTGTCGACGAGTTTCTCTCTTTTTTGCGTCACGGTTTCTTCTTTGTATCGATATTTCCGTTTCTTTTTTTTCCCTTTCTCTCTCTCTCTCTCTCTCTCTCTTTATTTCTCCCTCTCTCTCCTCTTTCGAGGCTTGCGCCGGTTTTCGCGATCGGCGATAGAGCAAACCGGGAGCGAACGACGGGATTTGTTTTGCCCGTGCGATTAACACGGTTCGTTGTCTGGCGACGAGGAGTTAATCGATTACACGGATTACGTTAAGCTACCACGTATTGTTGTCTTTTGCCCTTTTTAATAACTGCATCGCGTTCTTACGCTTGTTGCTATGAGAATATCCGCGCGGCAAGATATCGGGATGAAACCGCTCGAAAGAGGCGATTGCCGAAGAACGCGTTGAGCACAGAGAGAAATTCGCGATTAAGTGGGTGCAAGTATGTCCATAGACTAAGAATAACCAAGAGTTACCACCGGTATATACTATCTTTCATCTGTCTTCCTATTTTTCTTTTCGACTCCCTTCAACTCTTCCAGTGAGTAGAATTAGTGGCTAAAAAGAGCGATTTAAGCTAGTTCACGTGATCAAACGATACAAACGATCGATTCAACGAGTAGTGAAAAGATTCGAGAGTCAATGTTACTAGTTTCGATCCTGTTTGAATCTTGAGTACGAACCACGAGACGAAACCCATGCGCGCCATTTACGCTGCCAACTTTCTGCTTTACTTTTCGTATAGATCTTGACACAGGAAGATTGGAACGTCGTATTGTTCAACGGCATGCAGAAGACCTCCCACTGGGCAGCCCTCTACTTCGTCGCGCTCATGACCTTCGGAAATTATGTCCTCTTCAACCTGCTGGTCGCCATTCTCGTCGAGGGCTTCTCCTCGGAGGTAAGCCAGTGTTTCTGTTTACACAGCTTCGCAAATCGTTAATGCTTTCGTGCCAGTTTCTAGACCGATTTTTATCCCAGAAGAACATCCCGCGCTATTTTTAGTCCATCGAAACCTAAAATCGCTAAAAGTAAACAGACTTTACCGAGAAATTCGCGTGGTAGAGGAAGACAGACTGTCGGGTTGCTCGTGTCTCGTTCGTGCATCGATCACGTGTATTTGTTTCCCTTTTCTCTTTCAGTTATATGGAACTGACGACTTGTACTGCCTTCTCGAGTTAACGTGGTCTAATTGGAGTCTATCGATGATGTTCAATGCACGTTAATCACTTCAATCCTCATTTTCTGATTAGATTTTACACGCGAGCCACTCAGGCGGCAGTAATTAACTCCATTTTTTAAATTTTTATTTTTATTTCTAGTGCCGATGCATTTTTATCTTCAGCTCTTTATGTGTGAAATGAAATCCTGGTTTTTGTTTTGTAGAGTTTATCGATTCGCGAAGAAACTGAAATGTTTGATACCATAACGGTGTATAAAATAAGTGTAGAAGCAACTTTCAATGCGATTTAACGATATGTATAGTAATTACGTTATGTTTATTAGAAACATAGTGTTAATGATGAAGTACCAGTCGAAAGCAGTATTAATTAAAAAATAGCAAGTCTTAGGATAAGGTTGATGCATCTTTTGTTGCTGAAGCTGCCTGAAGTTAACTTTGCACGGAACTCACTAGCGCCACCACGACTCGTATCTGCAATAAATGTACATTGTAAATATCGTATATATTATTGAATTATTTTTTGATTTAACTGATCTTTGATTTGATTTAACTAATCTTGCAATTTTCTTCTTATCATATGTACCATAGTGTTTTAAATATTTCAGTGCTTGAACATAGCAAATATTATTTGAATACTTTCATGTACGAGTGTACATAGACGACTCCGATCGAAGTGAAAACTATATAGCGGTTTCTTCGCGTTTCTTAACAAAATCACGAATTAGCATTAGAAAATAGGATTGATGTTACATATTCCTTTGTATTGTAAAAATTATTCATATAAATTTTATCATTATTCCTAAATTTATTTTATATAATATTATATTTCAACTTCTATATATTAATATTATTGAAATTAATATTAAATTCTTTGTCGTTATCTGATTATAAGCAAATGAAATCGTCTTTTCAATATTTTTACCACAATTTTAAATATAACTTTGCAATAGTACAAGATAAAAAAACATTTCGTATAAAAAATGTTTAATTTTTAGTGCTCTTTGATATATACGTGATACATAACATGATTCATGCTATATTCGGATAATCGATCACTCGAATAATAGTTCGATGTATGATGATAATTAGTCATTCGGTCGAAATTAGGTTATTCGATGGTCTACTGTATACACTCGTGAACGAAACTATTCGAATGTTTACGCTTGCTATGCTTAATACGTGAAGTATTTATGTTGAATCGAAGTGTTTAAATTTAAAACGATATGATGTATTTGAGACGATATATATAGCAAGGAGGAAGTCCAAAGATTAGATCAGTAAAATTAGAAAATAATTCAACGATATATGTGACGTATACTGTATGTTTACTACGAATATGAACCGTGGTGGCGCTAGTGTACTTAGTGCCTTAGAGTTGGGTGTAGGAGCAAACGATGAACGAATATACTGACATTTTATTGAAATTTTAATGACAATGATATTGAAATTTTAATGCTTTATACGAAATTTTATATTTTTCGATTAATAATATTTTTGCGTATTATTCTTGTACGTTGTATTAGAATGATTTTGTAACACATTATTGGTGCATATTTGTAGTAAATCTATCATAGATACTATATTACTCTTGGGAAAAAGTTTTTTGTCAAACACAATAATGCGAAATTATCTGAAATTACTGTAATTTTTTTTTGACATACTAACCCTTTGCACTCGATGATTACTTTCATTACAGAAAAATAGCAATTTGGAGACTTTCTGCTGTAACGTCGAGGATATTTTTGAAACGGTAAATAAGGAATCAGGTATAAATTAACGCTGAAAATTGTTTTATTTTGATGTTCCATGCAAGCTTAGGTTATTTTAGATTTGATATCTTAATTAACACGGATTTTCGGAATTTGATTAAATGGTGACTTAGGCTCACCTCTCGAGTGCAAAGGATTAAATACTATAATATAAACATAAAACCGGTGGGGTTCTTATGGAAAATGTTTATCTAGTAGAATATTGGAATACTGGAGGTTCTACTGTATCTTATATTTCGTATAACAGAGTGTCTCATAATTTAAAATAAAATAAATGATCAAAATATGTCGAGTGTATTGAGTTCAACAAAATATAATGACAATAACTTTTTCCCTTTTCTTTTTTATTTTAATGTTTTAATATTTTAATATAAAATAATAATTGTCTCTTTTCAAACGAACAAAGTTTTATGGAATCATTTATTAAACATTTTGTTATATAACTAATTGTTCGTTTTATGAGTAAAAATTATAGTCATATAATTTCAATTAACGTATAATTATATTTAATGAATTGAAAACACTGCCTTATAGTAAAAAACAATAGATTTACAAATTAACTAAAAATTTAAGTTCATAAAAATTTTGAAGTAACAAGATTCGCGTTTCGTTATTTAACGCTATACTATAATTTTTATTATTTACAATATTTTATAACACTTCCCTTTATTTGCGCAGTTTAATGTAATTAAATAAATACAAATATGTAATTATTTTTAATTTATTCCAAAATATTTATATTTCTATGAAACAAATATTTCACGCTGCATACTATTTCTTAATTAATTATTAATTAATTTTCACTTTCTCGTTATTTATTTTTCTCAAAAAATTCATTATTTTCAAATTATTGTTTATATTTGTTTCAAACATAGGGTTATAAACAGTAAAAACTTTATTATTCTAATTCAAAATTGATATTTATATTGTTATTTGCACTGTTAAAAATTAAAAATTAAAAATTTTTTAATTAAAATTTAACTGTTAAAATTTAGTACCTTTTTACATCTTTGCTGATGCAAAATCGACTTTATATGTAATAGTAAACGCTCATAAAACCATAAATATGACTAAATATTTTTTTTCCTCAATTTTTACAGAGAAACGAAAGAAGGGAACGAGAACAAAGAGAAATGGCTAGACTCGCTGCGAAAGAAGGTGGAATGGGCAGCGATGATGGATCATCGAGGATCTCTAGATCACATTCAATCACTGATAGTGATACTTACACTCAGGTAAGAAGACAAAGTTCATTAATCATTATTAACGTAGTGAACAAATGCAAATGGTACTAATTTAATATATAAATTATACAATATTGAACACTAAACTTAGCATTGTCAGTCAAATCATTTTTAAACTTTTGATTAAAAATTCTGCTATTAATGTCATCATTTTTGTCACTTAATATTACAATTTTTGTTATAATATGGCTATAGAATTGATTTTTCAATCTATCTTTCTTCTTATTTCGTTTTTTCTGAGATTCACATGCTGCTTGTTTCATTTACCATAACCATTTGTAATACAATCTAATCTGTTACAAAAATCACATTTTATGATATATTAAATAAGATATTTTAAGGGAGATCAAACTTCGAAATTTGTTTCAACAGTTAGAAATATTTTATTTGCGAAAAAATTATTATAGTGAGATCTATGATCTGTGAAGAATATGACGTATAAGGATGAGATTTGCAATTATTTTATTTATTTATTATTTATTTTTGGTGGTTATTCAGAATCGGAGTAAAAAGAAATTAATTTCCTTCGTCGTTCTTTAAAAATAAATACATATATACGAATTGTTGGTAAATTTAATGTTCAAAAAGGGAGTTTAAGATTTTAAAAGATTTATAATATTTATTGATATAGTAAACATCTAATGAATATAGGTCCTAAATTAATTTTTTTAACGGGAACAATTTTTATTATTGACAAGTATCCAATATCATATATCATTTCGCAATATATTTAATATAAACAACGCATTTAGATTTTTAAATAGGTAAAAGATAAAAGACAAAATTAGAATGAGAGTCAGCTATACTTTCTGTATTACTTGCAAATGTATTAATAATTTCTGTCAAAAAACATAATGCCTATAATTATTTATAAACATCGTTATGAATTATAATTACAATTATTATTATTATGTAATTTATATTTTTGATTATTCTTTATATCTATTTAAATTATAATTACTCTGTTCAACACGAATTTCAATCTGTAATATCTATTGTGTATTTCTTGTAGAGTTTACTTTCCTAAAAACGAATCCGTAATCGAAATTTTCCTATCACCCTCAATTTTCGAAAATTGTGAATTTTTCTAATTTTTCTAATTTTTTTAAAAACGCGCAATTCTTGGTTAAAATCTAGTATTACAGAAATTTAGTATTAAGAACGCTAGGCGGTTCATTTTCATCTTAAAAATTAGGCGAGAGTATCCCGAGTTTATTAATATCCATAATTATAATTATTCGTGTTTCTGAATAATTAGAATTGGTCACCAAGGATTTAAAATAAACCTTCAAGCATAGTTTCTACGTATATTCTTGCACGTTCACAAAAGTTCTTTATTTGGCATGAATTTGCTATACAGTATCGTATTATGTAGGCTTTTTTGTAAAAATACTATGAAACAGAATTATCGAAACCAATTGTAATTCGATTAGGTCGAGAAAATATTCATGGGTGGTAACGTGTATACGGTATTTTACCTCCACGCAGTCATTGCTCGCTTCTCTACCCTTGACAGGTACCGTAGCTATGCATAATCCAAGTCCCAAGTGCAATAAAGCTAACAAATAACCACGAATTCCATGAAAAGAAAGATACATTTTCGTTATAAAATTTCGGAAAATTGACAAAGTTCAAAAGGAACTTAGAAAATTCACAATAGATAGGAAGTATATACATATAATAGTCTACGAGGGAAAAAAGGAATAGAAATATTAATACAAATAAAAATACAAACAAGTTCAAAGGGAACTTCGAAAATTTACAATAGACAGGAAATATCTTGAACTTATTACTGACTCATATATAATATATAATTAATTAACCCTTTGCGCTGGACGATTTTTTTGGCTAAAGAGAAGTACGAGTTGAAAAATTTTCTGCTATAAGACTGATGATATTTTTTGAGCAGTAAATAAGAAATCGTATAATAATTAACACGTAGAATTATTTCATTTCGATACCTCGCACACTGTTACATTATTTTAAATTTGATATATTAATTAATATCAAGCTTCGAAATTTTATCAAATGACGACTGAAAGACGCTTCTCGAGTGCAAAGGGTTAATAACTAATTAATAACTAATTCATAATTAACTGTTGATATAATATCAGAAGATGGAAGTTGAAACAGGATGTCAATAATATAACCATATGTTTATAACAATTAATATAGATTTTATTAGAGATCTATTGCACGCGAGTATTGTGCACTGTATATTTTGAATATTGTGCACGAAGGCCTACCATATTCACAATATGACAATAGTTAGTTTCAAGGGTTGCCAACACGCTGTGGCTCTTTAAGGCGCGAAGTATGAATTGAATATACGAATATATTTCAAGATTAACTTATAACTACTCTGCGTTGCTGAGAAGAAGTCATCTCGTTCGGCTGCGGGGCAACAGGGTTATTCCACTAGTACCGCCTATACTCTCGTTAGTAATACCCACTCTTCTATGACATTCCCAAAACTACTATCTCCAAGTTCGGTAACGTGATTCGTTAACATAGGCGTAAGATATCCGCGAAAGAAACGTTGTCTCAGAGTTAACTTACAATGAATTGGAAGCACTACTACGCCAGGCAATAAACGAAACGACACCATATGATTGGAAAGGATTTTGTAAACACGTAGAAACACTGGAACACGAATATTGGACGAAAGATGGAATAATAGAAGACGCAACTGAAGACCTAGAATTGGAAATACAAAGCAGTGAGTCGGATAAGGAATCAGATGACAATAGCTCAGAAGATTTATAAAGTAAAGGAGTACAAAAGTAATAATAATTAACATCATTTATGAAAATTGATTTAAAATTTAAGATGTATTTTTTATGATAAATTAATTATGTAATTGCATCGTACTAGATAACCGTTTAAAAAAATCACACGATACAACATAAATATAAAAAATATGTGTATAGTACAGCACGTTTGCTGCATAATGCAATGAAAAGTTAATCAAGATGCTAATTAGTAATTGGTAATTGCAAATAATCACGTGTTCATCGGAAGAATCTGGAGTTAATATGCTTTTGGGATGAGTCTACGCTGTTGCATCTATTTCTTGCGTCTGTCTCACTTTGTCTCGTTGCTTCGTTCGCTTTCTTTGTCACATGGTGTTCTATGACCGGGCTAATAGGAAGGGATCAGTTCTAAGCGTTTTACTCTACTTCTGCCATGATGGTAGAATGGTTGGACTGGTGGGGATTCGGTCCTACAAGTTTCTCAGATGACTTCTTTCCAGCAACGCATAAGTATCTTATAACTAATATTTCAACTTTGTTGCACTGCTCTTAGCTTACAAGGAGAGTGCAAGTCCTTCGGGCCACCGATTTAATTGAAACTTTATATGTTTGTAGATTTCGTCATACAGTTGAAGAATATATACCGTTATAGCCACCACTACTCGATAGTTTTTGAGATATTTACAATTAAAGTTTTAAAGTTTTATTATCAGTTTTACCAATAAGGGAAGCGTTTTACTCTACTTCTGCCATGATGGTAGAATGGTTGGACTGGTGGGGATTCGGTCCTACAAGTTTCTCAGATGACTTCTTTCCAGCAACGCATAAGTACCTTATAACTAATATTTCAACTTTGTTGCACTGCTCTTAGCTTACAAGGAGAGTGCAAGTCCTTCGGGTCACCGATTTAATTGAAACTTTATATGTTTGTAGATTTCGTCATACAGTTCAAGAATATATATCGTTATAGCCACCACTACTCGATAGTTTTTGAGATATTTACAATTAAAGTTTTAAAGTTTTATTATTTCTTTAACTACAGATTAATTCCAATGATTTTCAATTGGCGTTATAACCTAACGACGACACCCAAAAATTCCTATGCTGCAGGTTTGGGGTTTGATTCTCTCATCTTTAGTTAAATTTTCTTCTTCAATCTATTTTTTATTTTGTATTCATTTTTCGCTTATGTTAGCATCGTTCCCCAAAAATTGTTCTTTCAAAAGCGATACAAATTACCAGGTCTCACCACGTGGACGTAATTACGCATCGAGACTCGGACACTGCATCCTACTAGCGTTAGGATCAAAGATATTCTAACCTAACTTGGAGCGAAAGAAGTTAAAGCGAATCTACTGACACTTTATTAAATTTCGTGTCTTTCAAATAGAACTTGCATTCGGTATACTAAAACTCTACCGTTGCAACGCTAAAATATTTAATTTCAATAAAAATCGGCTCTAATATTTCCAAGTTCCCATAAAAATAGCGAATGAAATATCAAGAACGCGAACAAGTGAAAAATCGTGACACATCCGAACGAGTTCACGTTATTTCGAAAGATCGACTAGCCTACAACTCCCGTGTACAAGACTTCGACTTCGTGTCCCAGCACCCTCCCGATTGGGCCTAGCCCACCCCAGCCACTGCCGACCTCGCCGTGTCTTACTCGATGAACTAAGGCAGCCAATGAACCAACGAAACACCGGGAATTAACCCGGGGCCCATAACGAACCCTCGTAGTCGGTCACACATGTACACCCTGCTCCATGAGGAAGACTCGTCGTCCATCACCCGTTGTGCAATGGGACAGACTCAATTTTTGCAATGTCCGACAAGGACCCTACTCCTGTACGGAGATTGGTACCCAGGACGACTAAGGCCGACAGACCCTCGTATTGATTCCAGATGCCCCACCAGCCAGCCGACCACCCTAGATCTCGACGCATGACGAGACTAACAGTGGCTGGAATGAGTGTCGGAGACCAACAGTGAGAAGGACTTACGAAGCGTGAGCTATCGAGTACACGAGAGTACGTCGCGTAGACTAGTCGGTACTTAAGAACGATCGTGATTATCGCGAGAAAAATTGTTTTATTTGGTAAACGAGAGGGATGGGAAGGAAAAATATGAAATGTGTAAAGGGGTTCACTATTAATAATATTATAGTCAGGACAGACTGGCCGAATATTCTGTAACGTAAAAACTCTCTTAACACGTTGAGTGCGGCGCCGATTT